TAGAAATGCCTTCTTCATCATCATCATTGTGTGCCGCTGAGCCGGGGTTTTCCAGGTGGAGGGAATTCTCAGAAGCCATTGCCTGCCACTCCATCGGAAGGAGCCCTGGAATTCCTGGGCAGCTGGCCCAAGGCCACCCAGGCTGGCTTTTCTCTCCCTGGAAGCTCACAATACAAATTCCTTAAATAAATGCATAAAAATTAGTATACGTTTCTTGAATTGGAGGGAGGGAGGGAGGGAGGGAGGGAGGGGGAGACTGATTTTGATTGATTTTGGGCCATCCCAAGAGGTTTCCGCTCTGATGGAAGGACCCCTACCATGTTTTGAGACAGAAGTGGGGAAACTTTAATCCTCCCGCTGTGATGAGCTTCCTCTCCCATCAACCCCACCCACCACAGCCAACAGTAAGGGTAAATATGGGAATTGTGGTCTGTACCTTTTAGAAGATAAAAGGCTACCTCTTTCTGCTCTTAGCAAAGCCTGGCTCTGTCCCTTGGGATGGTGATGAAGCAGGAGGGGGAAGCAGCAGAGGAGAGGACTAGCAGCATTTGGTCAGAACCTGCTCAAGCGGGCGCTGGCCTTTCCCACGTAGAGACACAATGCACCAGGATGGAGCCGCCTGTCCCTAACAAGAAGGGGATGGGACTAAGATAAGGCTGTTTCTCCAGACAGCCTTTCCTCTTCCTCCTCCTGCTTCTAAAGGAGGGCTTCCAGACCAGCTAGGTTTGCTTTGAGAAAATCCTGATTTCCAGCACCAGGCCTAGAAAAACCTCTGTATCCCAAAACCCGGATGGACAACAACGATCATCCAGAGCACTGGCCTCCTGAAGCCTTGAATGGAAGGGAACATGTCTGACTTGTTTATGCGCTCCTTCATTCAAGCACCTCAAGGCTGTGTGTCCGCGGACCCTTTGCCTCCCATTATCGTCCCAACAACCCTGTAAGCTTGGTCAGGTTGTGGGGAAGCGTCATCCAAACCAGAGTTCCCCGATGTGCTTCATAACCACGTGGGGATACGAATCCTGCTCTCCCTGATCCCTAGTCCAACATTTTCACTGCGAGACCACGCCAGGCTCTCTCTCTCTCTCGCACGATCTCCTTTGAAGGTTCCCGTTGCTGCCTCGCGTCGAAGAGGTGTTTGTTTTGCTCTTCTCATTGCTGGTTTCCGAAATGTGTTTTGAAAGCCGCTTTATAAGCCTATTTTGTTTTTTGATTACTCCCACGAGCAAAGAGGGAGAAGCGTTAATGAATCCAGGCGGTGGTTTGTGTGCGCTGAAGTATCCGTCTCTCTTTCAGCCAGAAACGTCATGATTTTTATTTTATTTTATTTTTTGCCTCTGGGCAGCAGAAGCAGCATCAGCATCTTGTCTCATCCTGTCTGAACGGGGGACCTGCTTTTGTTCCTTGACAGCCGATGTAAAGAGCATCTGTGTCTGGAAGAGATGGAAGGCCCAGCCCAGCAGCTGCCTCTGTGCATTCCGGCTATGGTCCTGCGGCTGCCGTCACACATGAGGAAAGGCTGACGCCTCCCTTCTCTCTTCTCTCCCGCAGAAGATGGTTTCCCCAGGAGGGTTTGGAAAGTCTCCTTTGTGCTTGGGAGGGTCTAACGCCTTTCTTTCTGGCATCTCCCCGGTGTCGATGCCTTCAAATTTAGCCACTCCTTGAAGGTGAGGGACGTGTGGTGGATTTCGCTTGCCTCCTTTCCTCACCTCTCCAGTTCTGCTGCATTATTTCCATCCCCAAATAGCATACACCAGAACTGCCAGGCTGGCCTGAGTGTCAGGCCAGGACCCAGGAGTCCTGGGTTCGAAACTCTCCATGGCCAGGTAAACTCAGTCAGGGGCCAGGGGTAGCCCTGGTAAAGCCACATCTTAAATATCTCACATACTCTGAAAACTCTGTCAGGCACACAACATCAAAAAGGAGTTATACGAGCCAAATGGATACCACCACAGAAGAGTGACCAGGTACCAAATGATGTATCGGTGGCCTTCATACCATCCGGGATGGGATAAAGTCTCCGGCCTTGGGCAGGGGTTGGACTAGAAGACCTCCAAGGTCCCTTCCAACCCGATGACGATTCTAGGATTCTATATACAAGGTGGCTTCAGGTTTGAGGTCTCCCTGGACACTTCTAAGCCCTACAGCTGTGCCTTCTTGGCCTTGAGCTTCCCACAATGCCCTGATTTCCCACAATGCCCTGAACATTGTGTCAGCTGGGGGTCAAAACGGCTGGTCCAAGGCCAAGCTCCGGCGGGACCCTTGAACCGAGGTCTCCATCACTCCCGCTTGCCTGGAGTGGGAGATCCCAGTGGGCGGCCTCTGTTGCCCCAAGAGTGGCTTCTGGTCTTGCCATGGAGATAGCCCTTCTTTTCTCCTCTGCCCCACTCCCTCGGCTCCAAAGAGTCTCCCAGCTCTCCAGAAGGGAGGATATGGCGGGGTGGTAGTGGTGGAGAGAAGGTGGCAGGGCATTGATGGATGCCACCTCCTGGTTGAGGCCAGCAGATGTGGGAAGAGGAATGGGGCCAAGAAATCCCGTGTGGCCACATCTCAGCGAGCAAGGTCAGGAGAGGACAATTCCCTGCCCACCCCCACCCCCCCCAAAGGAAATGGAAATGCTGACGACACAGCAGTTGCTTATCAGGGATCAGTCTGACGTGAGCCACTGGCAGGGTCAGGCCTCCCCAGATTGTCCAGGCTTAGCAGAAGAAGGAGGGCTATAAAGTTCTTCCAGAATCCTTCTTTAAACTTAAGAGAAACAACCCGCTACTACATGACGTTTCCTCCCTTTATCACAGACGTCAAGACCTGGATTGTCTCGGAGACATTGCTGAAATTCCTCTTGTGAACTCCGGTAAATTGGTGAAGGAGGAAACAGACCTGCGTCCACCAGGCTGGGCTAAAATCAGAACAACTCCTGATGAGTTTTCCTTGCACCCTGGACTCTCGGTTCAGGGCCATCCTTGAATCATTGTCCTGGCCTGTGGGTTGTGTTGCCTCCTGTCCCTCGACCCACATTGCCCGTAGTCGTAGTCGTCGTGGGGCCCTGCCTCTGAAGGCCACCTCCACCGGTCCCTGGTAGCCTTTAGTTTTTGAAGGGTGGTGGGCCAGGAAGCGCTATCTGATTGCCGTTGCCCACCTCTGGAGAACCCACCCCCCTTGGGCAACCTTTCTGAAGGTCTTTGGATGATGATACAGGTTGCATGTTGTCCGGAGAGGGGATTCCTCAAGTGCAGAAAGACGAGTGATGGTCACAGGGTGCAAATCTTGGCAGTCTGATGGCAGAATCAGGCATGGAGCTCAAAGGGAGCTGCCTGCCAGGCGCACAAGAGGCCCTTCGCCTTCCGAGGGCGTGCCCGGGTCTCGTTGGCCTTGGCCCTTGCGGGAGGGTTCTTGCAATGCCCTAAAGATGGAGCGGGCAAGGTTTGGGAGGGGTTGGTGGTAGGCATGGACAGGAGGCGGGGGAGACCCAGGTAAGTAGCCCCTGAATCTGGGTAACGGCAACCCCAAAGGGTATGGGTGTGTTTGTGCAGCTGCTTCAGCGGCCATCATTCTCGCCACGGCTCACATCTCACGCCGCCCTCCTGATTCATGTGGGGAGTTCTTCTGGGCTGTACGATTCTGCCAGAAAGGCTCAGCGCCACTCCATCGGGAACTTTGTTTCCTCCAGGCCACGGCGCCTCATCTGTGGCAGCCCGGCAGGCTGGCCTCGGCCCCCGCCTTTTGGGTCAACGCTTTGCGCTCTCTGTCCTCCCTTAGACCAGGTCTTCCGCCTTCCCCATCCAGAGCTGGGAAAGGTTGCTTTTTTTTAGAGTAGGGGTCTACGTCCTGCACAGCCCCCAGTCTGACAAGCTGGCCTCCCTCCGTGATGCCAACAGTTCCCCCTCTCAGCTTTTAGGAAGGCTGCAAAGACACCGTGTTTTAGTGCACCTTACAATACAGTGGGATTTATTGCAGTGATTTTGACGGCAGATTTAATTCATTGGCACGGCTTTTATCGTGGCGCTCCATTTTATTTGATTCTAATGATTCTGTCATCAAATTTGCTTTCACTTCTTGTGTTTATTAGGTTTCCTAATGACTGTGAGCTGCCATGAGCAGGACACTCCCTCAAAGGGGAAAGGCAGGAGAGAAGAGAAATGTAATAAACAGCAACCGCAGAAGTGCTGACTATTGTTACTATTATTATAATAATTCCCAGGATCCTCTAACTTTTCCCAAGCTCTCCTCCTTCCCTCCCCTTCATGCGCTCCCACCAGAGCTGATGTTTTCGTGGCCCAGATCCATGACTCTCGAAGAGGCTTCGATGGACTTGCCTTCTCTCTGGCCCCCTGCTTCTGACATCGCCTTAAGCCTCATCGAAACCAAGGAGGAGAAGCAATTCCCATCATCCTGGGCGCTGCTGGGAACTGACCCCCCCCAGCCACAAATCCCCCCACCTCTGACCATGATGAAAAAAACCTTGCTCTCTTGTGTCAGTCAGTCCCATAAGCTTGCATTCTAGAGAGGGAAATTGACAGTGGCATGGGCGGGTGGGGGAGTTAAACACACTGATGGATGGGAGGAGAAACTGACATTTCAGTGACTCGGGTGTATTCCCCACCCCACCCCAGTTTTGCAAGGTGGTAAAGCCAACATCCACCTCACAGATGACAGAGCTGTCCTTCTCAGTGAAGTCACCGCTGAAGGACACTCTGCACGCGTTCCAAAGCTCCTTCTTTCCAGGGAAAGGACGCTGTGAAAAAAGCACCAGTGCCTTTGGGAAGGTGCCGGTTTGCACTCTGCATTCCAAAGCTTCTTCTTTCCAGGTGCAGAGAAAGGACGCTGTGAAAAAGCACCGGTGCCTTTGGGAAGGTGCCGGTTTGCACTCCTTCCTGCTGCCCTTCACCCTCAGCTGGCAACCCGCCCTGGCTGGCACTCGGGAAACAAAGCCTTGAACCATGGGCCGGCCCAGATAAAGCGCCCTCCTCCTCCTCCTCTTCTTCCAGGTGGCTGGAAGGGCCTCCCCCCTCTCCCTTTGGCTTTTACTGCCTGTTTTTAAGAGCGTCATTACCCTCTGCTCCCCCCTGTTTTCTGCACACACTTCGTGTACACCATAGGTCAAGCTGGGAGCGTGGCCATCCTTGACTGAGATCGCCGAACCCTTCCCTGCCACAGAAAAGGGCCAGCTTTCTGGAGGGACTTGGCGAGCATCTCTTCTCCCAGGACAAAGACAGCTGGAATCCAGGAGCCCAGGGTAGCCGAGAGCCACAGGTACGTCCCAGCGTTAGGGGTGTTGGGCTGGAGCATCGGAGCACCTCTGCTGGGCTAGGGATGGATGGGAGAGCGTGGGAGTGTCATTTCAAAATATTTCAAAAATAGTTAACAAAGAATAACAGAAATAGCTCGTTGGAACAACTTTAAGTTACATTAGCCATTCGGTGCATGGCAAGGCCAGCAAACTTTTCCAAGCACCTGTTGCAATCACGGTAGAGCTTAAAGAGCAAGGAGCTGCCTCTGCAAACCTGCTTGGAAAGTGCATGGAAATAAATATCCTTCCTGCCAAAAGAGGAGCTGAAGCGTCTGTGCCAAGCAGGCGTCCCTCGGGAAGCCTCTGAACGGGCTGCGCTCTCCTCGGGTGAAGGGAACAGAAGACGTCCTTCGGCTGAAACAGGAGAGGGCTTCTTCCCAGCTGCTGCCGGGGTAAAACTCAATGGCATTTAAAAAAAACACACACACGGTTCGGAGTAGCAAATTCTTGTCAAATCCCAACTCTCATGAGAAGTCGTTCTGCTTAGAATTGTTGAAAGAAGTGATTTAAAACACTAAATGCCAAGTGCTGTTAAGTTTTTGTGGCACCTAATGCAATGTTTTAACATACTAAAAGCCAAACCTGTCACTGTTGTTGTGACTATGGAGAGGAATTGGGGGGGGAGGGGAGTGTTACTATAGTGTTAGGGCTGTTAATTCAGATAAATTCAAAAATCTGAGCGAGCAAATTTTTATTTGGGAGAAAAAGCTGGACCCTGGGCTTTTCTGTCCCCAAAGAAATCTCCCACCTGATTCTCTCAGAAAGTCTGGCCATCCCTGTCTTCTGTTCCAGAAGGATGGCATCCACTAAGCAGTGGGGCTTTTAACAAGGGGGGCTATCGTACCACTTGGGGCCAGTGCACTGTCTGGTCCACTCTTCCCAAAATTAAAGTTGGAAAGGTGCCTTGTTTTCAATGGATCCGCTCACCCGAGCATCAAAAGGCGTTGGAGGCAGGCAAACGGACAGGGGGTGCTTTCTCAGCATAAAAGGGCCGCTGGAATCCACATGCCCTGCTTCCGAATGGCAAAGACACCGGATCACGCTGTGCCCATGGAAATGAGTTGGTGCCAACTCAAGAGCACAAACAAAGGATGTGTTATTTAGGAAGGATCGTTGCCCGTGTGTTGCTTCTAGCAGAGTCGGGGGGGGGCGTGCGACGAGCACCCCGCCTTCTGTGGCCCGTCGGTGCCGTAGGTGAGGCAAAACTCCTGCCACCTCCAGGCAGTAAACCATCAAGGCCTCCGCTGGCTTCTTTGGGCTTCCAGCCTGTCCCTTCCGAATCGCTTGTATTCCAGCTCTCTCTGAGCCAGGATGCAATGCCGACTCAGGGCCTGAAATCAGGAGCGGTGCATGGATGGTCCAGGATCCTGGCAGAGAAGCACCCTCTCACATTCGGAAGGGGCAGCAGTTGCCGATTTAACTGGCCAGTCAAAGATTGGCTCTAAAGAGGACGGATCAATTGAATGCATCCGCCTGTTGCCGTCTCTCTGCCGTTGTTCTTTTGGATCGACTCACAGCAACCTTAACAGGGCTTCCGAGATTAGTGAGATGTTTAAAGTGTGGTTTTATGTGTAGGGGAGAGAGTGACAGACTAGGACTCAGGAGGCCTGGGTTCGAATCCCCACTCAGCCATGGAAATTCACTGAGGGGAAAAGAAGGTGGAAGGCTGCGTCCTCCCTCCGGGTAGACCCTGGATGTTGCCATTGAAGTCTTTAGAGTCTCCAAGAGGAAGGCTCCTTGTCAGCAGCAGCCCTAAATGAGCCCAGGTCAACCCCGAGGGAGGACACAGCCTCATCTCAGACTGCAGTGTGTGTTGGGGGGGTTGTCTTTAAAGGGCCATTTAATTCTGCGGCGAACTCTCCGCTCGGCTGCCCAGAAAGGCTCAGTCCAGACGGTTCCAAACAAAACTCGGGCCAATCCATCAACGCAATTGCTGGCGGCCTGGCATTCGGTATGTGCCCGGGTTTCCTCCTCCTCCTTGCAGGAGGCCAACCAAGGACTTCCTCCACCGTGGGGGAGAAAGCGGGAACAATAGGGACGCCGCTTGGCCAAGTCCCTGCCCATGTCCAGGGCACTGCGCCCCACGGCAGCGGCATGGAAACCGGCCGACAGCTCCATTGTGTCCCGCCCAAAGGTCCTGCCCCCGCGTTCTCCTTGTCCTGGCAGCCGGGGGCTGGGGGGGGGAGATGCAAGCTGGGCACCCAGCCAGGCCTCTTGTCTTCCAGAGTCGCCCAGCCATGTCCGTCGTGGACTTTGGAAAGATGTCGGTCCAGGACGTGGAGCTGGAGAGCAAGCCCCGGCCCTCGCAGCCCAACTGGTACGAGCAGTACCTCCAGCCGTGCCTCGGGGAGCTGGTGGGCTCGGCCTTCTTCATCTTCATCGGCTGCGCTTCCGTCATTGAGAACACGGACGGGACGGGGAGGCTGCAGCCGGCGCTGGCCCACGGGCTGGCCCTGGGACTCACCATCGCCGTCCTGGGCAACCTCAGGTGAGCGAAGGAGCCAGAGGAGTGGTGAAGTCTCTCTGTGTGTGTGTGTGTGTGCGGTGATGGTGATGGTGGTGGTGGTGGGCACCTCCTCATGGGACCCTTCCTTCCACAGTAGCTTCTCTCTCGGTCCCAACGCCCTCACGGGCCTCTCCAGCTAGGAGGTGAGACGGGGCCTCCTTGGTGGCTGCCCCCAGACTCTGGAGGGCGAGGCCGGCTCCCCGCTGGCATCCCTGCCCTCTTTCCATCATCAGGCAAAGACCTTTCCATGGAGACAGGCTTGCCTTTGGCCAGGACCGGCGGATGAGGAAGAGTCCTTTAATGGTGCAAAACACCCATTTTGTCTTGCTTTCCCATTGGGCTTACATGGTATCAATTTGGCAACTGTTTTTAGGATGGCATGTTTCATTTCATTGTAATAGCGTCACTTTTCACTCTTTGCAAGGTACATGGTTTAATTCATTTGGTGAGCTGCCCTGGGAGAAAAGGTAGAATATCCAATCAATTGATCAACAGACAGACAGACAGACAGACAAGGGAAGCTGGCGGCATAGTAATAAAGGGGTGGGAGTTAAAACCCAGTAGAAGAGGCATCTGACATGGCCGGGGTTTCCCTTGAAGTGGGCTGAGGCTTTCTGTTCTGGGGTGAGAGCCTGTTTCTACCCCTAGACTTCGCACTTCGCTCCTAACTGCTAGTGCTGTTTCTCCTGGCTGGCAGAATCCTTGCCCTGCAAGGGTTAATCCTTTTGCAAAAGTAGGCTCGAAGCAGGTGAAATTTGCCCTCAAAACTTCGATCAATCCCATGGAGTAAACAAGTCCCCTCTGATCTCCCTTCGCCACCTAGTTTATGGCTTTCCTTTCGGTTAATGGGTTTCTTGAATGTGGTTTCTGCCGCAGTGGGACCCAACTGCAGGAAAGGAGGAGGAGGAGCAGCCAAGCGGGTTGAGGCCCTCTCTGGTTTTCTTGCCCTCCCTTCTTGGGTGTCCCCCCCCTGCCCCCTCCCCTGGAGCAACAGGACAGGACACCCTGGGGGGCTCTTCTCCTAACCACGATCTCTTCTTCCTGCCCTTGGCTTGCAGTGGTGGCCATTACAACCCGGCCGTGACCCTCGGCGCGTGGCTGGTCGGAGGGCTGAACATGATGCTGGTCATTCCATACTGGGTCGCCCAGCTCTGCGGAGGGCTGATCGGAGCAGGTCTCGCCCGGGTACGATGAACCACCGCTGGGGAGTGGTGGGATGAGGAGGGAGGGGGAGAGCAGCTGGTGTCGAGGGTGTGCCGTGCGGGTGTGGGG